TTATTTGCACAATCGACATCATCAATATTCACATAGTTCAGAATTTGACGAGAAAATCTATTTGTAGTTGAATTCAGTAGTGTGATTGGTAACAGAATTACAGACTGGCTGGTAAATTACCTAGGCCTATTTTTAGTAGCGGTCTGTAACCCTTTTCTATTTATAGGTCGATGTTTGTTACACTTTTCTGTTAATAGAATGAGGTCTATAACATATTTACAGACTCGTCACATGACGTCGCTACTCCAATCAGGGCTGGGAATTAGCACCAGTCATATAATAATATACAAATATGGACTTCAGTCTCCGAGGTGAATATTGTTCAGACCAGGTCCGTAAATCAGGGATAGACCGAGACTGAAGTCCACAATTGTTGTTTTTTATCTGACATTTTACAATGAGATTAATATTTTTCATGTCATAAACACATGGATGGCATGGACCATTTTGGAATCACAGAGTGAAGGACTTCAAATACAAAATAGCATACACACAAATTTAATTTCAGATTCAATTCATGTGATATTTAGTTTTAAGTAAATATTATTTGCACAGTCGACATCATCAATATTCACATAGTTCAGAATTTGACGAGAAAATCTATTTGTAGTTGAATTCAGTAGTGTGATTTGTAACAGAATTACAGACTGGCTGGTAAATTACCTAGGCCTATTTTTAGTAGCGGTTTGTAACCCTTTTCTATTTATAGGTCGAGGTTTGTTACACTTTTCTGTTTATAGAATGAGGTTTATAACATATTTACAGACTCGTCACATGACGTCACTACTCCAATCAGGGCTGGGAATTAGCACCAGTCATATAATAATATACAATTATTGACCTATTTTCAGGAATACAAGGATTTATTAACCCGAGAAGGTGATATTTCCCGAGGCCGGAAAATATTGCGTGAATATTTGAAAGAAAAGGCACAGACTTTGTTGACATGCAGGCGCTCGAACTCTGTTCAATGAACAATGTTCATCGAAGTTTTATGTGGAAATGAGGAAGAAAGACGGTGAGAAATATCAACGTAGTTCTCTCTTTAGTGTCCGGCATGGTATCAACCGATACCTTTCGAGTGTCGGTTGTAACATGGATATGGTGGTGGCGCTGAATTTACTGAATGCAACAAAGTGTTTGATGCTGCAACGAAGGGGAAATGTGGAATTGTGCATCATCCCCCAATTGATGTATGTTTGTTGTATTAAATAAATACTAAAATTGTTTGATTGAGTTTTCTCCCATTTACTCACATTACGCAGTATGGTGTTTTCGATCTGATTAACAGCTAATATAAGGTCATTTTAATTGCACAGAGACACATATTCTGTGTAGGCAGAATTCCAATACAGGTGCCATAATTATGGTGGAATATGTTAAGTATGGATTGGTGCTACACATGGTTAAGTTTATAAAAATGATATATTATAAAACAGTTATTGACCTGTTTTCAGGTGAATACGAGGAATTACTTACCCTCGAAAGAGATATTTCCCTCGGTCTCCGGCCTCGGGAAATATCACCTCGGGTTAACAAATCATTGTATTCACATGAAAATAGGTCAATAATTGTATAATTTTTACCTGTAACTGTGATTTAGATTCGGTACCAGTATACACCTCATTAGAGCACCTTCAGGAACTTGGATTGTCAAGAGCCCGGGGGCACAGACCCGGGATATTTGCCCGAGTCCAGAACCGAGCCGTACTCCAGATAACAGATTTCTGTTATTTCCTAATTAGTGTCACAAACTTAGGGTTAATAATAGTATATGTATACATGTCATTTAGTATTTTGCTTTCGGATTGATCAAAGAGGTATATATAACGTATTATGTAATATA